GGCTTTTCTATGTGTTTTAACTGCTTACCAAATGGATAAATTGCAGTGTGTGTTTCATCCCTGGGCATATGTGTTATTCCAGTGCCTCTTTTCTAGGAATATTTAGAAGCTATTCATGAGCTCTATGAAGAGTGGCTCATTAAACGTGCACTGTTTGAAGTTTCCTGCCCAGTGCTTGTGAGTATTACTTTAATTATAACCAATTAGGCATGTGGAGGATTGTACTTTTTAAAGAATAAGAGCATTATTTAGTGGTAAAAGTAAATAAATCTGATTTTCTGGTAACCTTGGAGAATGAGAACCTTAGAAAACTGTTTACAGACATGTAGTGTATAGCATGGAAGTGTGGTTTTCCATCTCTTTGTGGAATTTGAGGGTCTGTTCACTGTGATTGGTTGCAGGATCAGCCATGTAACTTTTCAGGGAATGCCAAATTTCAAATGGAAAGTGATTTGGACAGACCCCAGGAGTGTCTTGGTTTGGCTTCAGTGCTAGTCCTCTTCTGTTTTGCTCAACCCCCCCCATGTTTTATGGTGTCAGTTATTTCTAATGTTCATGTTCTTCTTTTCAAGGTTATTGGAGCTGACCATGACATGCAGAAAATGATAGAAACGTATGAAGAAAAACGGGACCAAATACTAAACCCATCTAATAGACAACACCATTTATAGGAGCCTGTGATTGTTGTACCAAATACTGTTTATGAAGTCTGATTTGGTATTTTTAATATTTAAATATAACTGGTTTTGGTTTTGCACTATGCTTTGTAGAATGTTGTGGACTTATGGCTATGAAATGTTCAGGTTCAAGTCAGGAACAGAATATAAACCAATCCCTTTTTGTGTTTTTGGGTTCTCCATCAGCTTTACTGTGTCAAATCTCTTCAGCTAAAATATGGCTGTTTCCCCCATTTCCCACTTCACTGCTGCTTCCTAGAAGTAACCTAAGTTTCTTCTTTATTTTTCCCTAAAGACAACCCTGGTTTTGTAATTTAAAATAAATGGTTTGTTACTACCTGCCTCTGAAGCAGAGAACTGAGGCTGGTGTTGGTGAACTGGGGTGAAATGACCCCCAGTGACTGGTGTGTGTGTGTGAGGGAGGTGTGTTTATTACAGTCGGCCCAACCCTGGTGCCCAGCAAGGTTGTGGAGCAGATCACTGTGGGTGTGCTCACATGGCACACTCAGGACAGCCAGGGGCCAGCACAGGTTTAGGAAGGGCAGGTCCTGCCTGACCAACCTGATCTCCTTTTCTGACCAGGTGACCCACCTGGGGGGTGAGGGGAAGGCTGTGGATGTGTCTGCCTGGCCTTCAGCACACCTGGGACACTGTCTCCCATGGCACACTCTGGAAAAGGCTTGGACAGGGGCACTGTGCTGAGTCAGGAACTGACTGGAGGGCTGTGCCTGGAGAGTGGTGGGAATGGTGCTGCATCCAATTGGGATCTGGTCACCAGTGGTGTCCCCAGGGATCAGGGTTGGGCCCTGTTGGGTTCAGTATCTTTATTGTGAGGGGACTGAGTGCACCATTAGCAGATTTGGGTGTGGGGTCAAGGAGGCCAAGTGCCAGGTCCTGCACTTTGGCCACAACAACCCCTGCAGCTCCAGGCTGGGCAGAGGGGCAGGAAAGTGCCCAGCAGGAAGGGCCCTGGGGGTGCTGGTGACAGGGCTGGACACGAGCCAGGTGTGCCCAGGGGGGCAGGAAGGTCAAGGGCACCTGGCCTGGATCAGGAATAGTGTGGCAGCAGGAGCAGGACAGTCCCCATTCCCCTGTGCTGGCCCTGCTGAGGCCCCTCGAGTGCCGTGTCCAGTTCTGGGCCCCTCACTGCAGGAACAACACCGAGGGGCTGGAGCGTGTGCAGGGAAGGGAACGGAGCTGGGAAGGGGCTGGAGCACCAGGAGCGTCTGAGGGAGCTGGGGGGGCTCAGCCTGGAGAAAAGGAGACTCAGGGGGGACCTTCTCACTCTACAACCTGAAAGGAGGTTGCAGTGAGGTGGGGGTTGGGCTCTGCTCCCAGGGAACAAGTGACTGGACAAGGGGACAATCTTCAGCTGCACTGGGGAGGTTTAGGCTGGACAGCAGGAAGACTTTATTCACAGAAAGGGCGATTAGATCTTGGAACAGGCTGCTCAGGGAGATGGTGGAGTCCCCATCCCTGGAGGTGTTCAAGGAATGGAAGAGGTGGGATGTTCTTTTTTTATTATTACAGGAAGCAAATGAAGTGCATCAAGTGAAGCAGCTTTGTTAAATAGGTCTTACCAGTTTGAAATCTTGGGTCTTACTCTAACCCTGCCTACACTAGTGCAGCTCCACTGAATTCAGCACGTTCCTTCTGCTCTACATGACACCACAATGTAGCTGTAGTTCTGTAGCAGTTCCACTGAATTCAGTGGCAAGAAAAGACAAACCCAAACCACAGATTTGTAAGTGATTGCAGAATGGCTTTCAGGCTGTTTCACAGCCAGGTTTCTGTAGAGGGCTTATTTCTCTCCAGTGTTGATGAGATGCCCAGCCCTGCTATGGCTGAGCTGAGGAACTGACAATAAGGGTGCACAGAAAAGCATTTGTTGTTCCTTTCAAATGGTTATAAAAAATCCTAGAATTAATTGATTTCTTAAGTGCTTTGGATTCTCTGATTTTAGTTCTTTTTACAAAGAAAAATACAGATGGTTCTTTGGGTTTAGATTGTAATCAGTTTATTATGACCTGCAGGTACTTGGAGAGTGAACTAGTGGGGGTTTCATTCAGGACTCATCAGCTCAAGTGTTGAGTTGCCTTTCTCTTGTGCTTTACCCTCTGAATGTTCTCTTCAAGGTAATCCTTTCAAGGCAGCAGTTTGGACTGTGTTCACCTTACTTTTTCTGTGTAATTTTAGGGGAATGATCCCTGAAGTACAATATACATATAATTTATTTTCCCTAATGGTTTTGGTTGGTTTAGCTGGAGCAAGCAAGGCATCAGTGAGTACTTTGATCACGGATTGCTGACATTTGTCTGGCACTTGCAGGACACAAATATTGGGTGACGTGGCCTTTCAACAGCATCTGATGGTGTTGCTCTTGGAGATCACTGCCTTTCTTTTGCAGTTTTGTGGTATGACTAAAAACCCTGCATTGAAGGGACTGCACCAACTCAGGAACTGCAGTTCATGTCTTGTTAGTCCCATTTGATGGGCTATTTTTTTCCCAAATCACTACAACTTATTCATGATGAGTGCACTGAGCATTTCCTGGTTTAGTACAGAGTTAGTACTAAGGCTTGTGATCCCAGTAATGCCATGCTATGGGTCTGTTGTAAATCTTTAGAATTCTAGCTTAAAAATAAGATTTTGTGTGCTAATTAATTATCTTTCTTATTGAAGCTTATTTGTAGGGGGATAGTGATTATTCTTAAAACCTTCTGTTAAACTTTCAAACCTTTTTCTTCTATAAAAGAGTCCAAAGGAACCGTTTCTTTGGAAACGGTTCTATAAATTTGAAGTTCAGTCATCTGCAGTTTGTTCTAAATTCTGATTTCATCATGGGTTGTAGAAGCCCAGGATGGATGTTTTGCACAGTCCAGAAAATCTCACTTGATGGTTTAGTACAGAGAATCCTACAGCCCAGAGGATGTCACTGTGATTTGTCAGGAAAGAGCCCTGTGAACATTTTTTGTCCATAATAACTGTTTCTCACAACCTCACCCAAAGCTGAATGCAGCCCTTGGTGTGAGCTTGGGCAAAGTTCTGTTCCCCCCACACTGCTGGAACCAGGGGAAGGCAGAACTTCAGCAATTGGTGGTTGAAAAAGGAGATCTTTACATTTTAGCTCCTGAGCTTTTTCTAGTGTAATCCGTGTGCTCCTCTTTGAATTTTTTGAGGGCTGAACGTCAATTATAAACTATACAAAATTTACTTCAGCTACTGTTTTAACTATACGTGAAACAACAAAGCACTTTTAGCATCCAAAGCACAGCCCCATATTAGCCACTGTGAAGAAAATTAACTCCACTCCAGCCAAAACCAGCACACGTTGACGTGCTGCTGGAAAAGCTACTCGATGCAGTATTAAAGTGTCCTCCTGGGTAACAAGTGTATAAAGAAGCACTGAAGACTGTGCTTAAGTACAGTACCAGTGGCTAGTTGCTTTTCTCAATGAATTAAATGTTGTGTATGACAGAGGCTCTCCCTGCTGGGACTCAGCTCACAGCTGATCCCACACTTCTGCTCCCGTTCCCTCTCAGCACACAGAACTGCTGCTTCCAGAGGATCCCTGATCCTGGCTCTGGTGCTCACTGCAACCTTCTCTGCTGACATTTCCTTGACACTAAAATGGCACAGAATGGCAGTTTTTCCTCCTTAATTTTATGATGAAATAAAATGAATAAAATGAACTGGTTTACAGAAAAATTCTGTGAATCTTGGTGCGGAATGAAGTGGCAGGAGCAGGGACAAGGGAAATGGCAGCAGTAGCTGCATCTCTCTCCTGGTGGCAGTGAAGAGTTATGATGCTCAAAGCTTCTCTTGAAAACTGTAGTGGAAGCCACAAAATATTCTGGTTATAAATGAAGGCAGGTATAAAACCTGTAATACAGGTTATTGCCTCTCCAAACCCAAGAGTGTTCACAGGGCTGTTTCCCTCTTCAAACCTAGAGGAACGTTGTCAAACTTTCTAAACTTGTTCTCAGCTGAAGGCAGGAGGAAGATGAGCTCAGAACAGCTTCCAAGGAATGCAGTGAGCTAACAAACACAAGTACACTCCAGTACAGCATTTGTAAAGCTGGAAACCTGGGTCTTCCAGTTTAGAAGATCTACCTTGTACTGGAAGAATACTCCAGGAATAGGTCTGTGAAGGGGGAAAAAAAAGCAGTATGCTTAACTGAAGAAACCTGGCTGGCATTAGAAACAGCCAGAAGGAATCTGGCTAATGAATTAATGGATTTAAATTTATGGAAGTTTACCCTTCAGAAAGGTGACCATTCAGGTTTCCTTGCCACAGGGGCCATTAAGACTTCGTGTAACTACTCCTGTTTTTTACTGTCCAAAAGCAGTGATGTGGTTTTGGTTTTTTTTAAACTGTTTTGACAAAACGAATCATCTCCTTGAAAAGATGATCAAGGCCACAAGTGAGAGGCAAAAACCCCAGGCAGATTAGAGATAAAGCACTGGTAGACTCAAATGTGATGGCATAACATTCCTTGGTCGGTCCTGTCAATAATGACATAAGGCTCCTGGTTTTCACTCAGTTCTGAATTCCAGTTCTCCAGAGTTACTTCACTGGATTCAGGTTCAGGCTGCAGGAGGGTCCTTCTGTCCTGTGTGCTGGTCCTTCTTGGGTGTGAAGGCCCAACATCGATACTCTGTGGTGGGATGTAGGTGAGGTTGGGGGGCTCTCTGATGTGCCTGAAGCCCTCAGAGGCTGTGTGTGTGTTACCAGTATCCATGAACAGTCTCTTGCCATCAGAACCAGTGGTGGAATGCTCCGTGTTCCCAGCAGTACAGCACAGGTCTGAGAATGGCTCAGCATCAACCAGATATGTATGTTTGATTTTGGAGTGATTGAATTCTCTTCTGTGCCTGTCACTGGCACATGCTGCTGCTGCAGGTTGGCCAGTTTCCTCCACTGGGTACATCAGATCTTCCTGAGTGTCCTTGATCTGTAGTTTTGTGAAAGTTAAGGACAGATCACAAACCTCCTCCTCCCTGGGGACAGTCTGGGCAGAGGCAAAGTCTGTGTAGGGCAGAGACTTCAGCTCAGCGGGTCCATCGGCAGGGTCTGGGTCTATGCAGTTCATGGCATCCTTGATTTCTGCTTCAATGGATTCTTGGGGCAGTTGTGGAGCTCTGAACTCCCCGGGGGCTGAGCTGTCACAGGGGCTGTCAGCAAACATGGCAAAGGCTGGGGGGCCGCTGGCTCCTGGGGACAGCGGCACAGGCCCCAGCTCAGCCCCCCGGGGCTCTGCAGCCAAGGCACATTCCTCACTCCCACTGGCTCTGGGCTCGGTCTCAAAAGCCTTTGGAGAACGATTCTCACTGAAGATAGGTGTTTGTCCTATGACAATGTCACTGTACTTGACCAGGAAGTCCTCGCTGTCCGAGCACTGCCCCGGCAGCCGCGCGGAGCCGACGCCTCGCCTGTGGAGTTCCGGAGGGATGGAGGTGGATGGAGCAGCTGCTGCCTCAGCCAACTTATCCTTGCTCTCCACATTCCCAGCAGCTTCAAAGGACAGAGGGCAGGGAGCTGAGCAGTTCTGCTGGGGAGCAAGGCACAAAGATGTCTCACTGCTTTCTTCCTTTTCTGGATTTTCCATATCTCCTCTCTGGGGTGGGTGATCTCTGTCCTGCTCTCCTTGGTGCCGCTGGGTTTGTGTTCTCTGCTGGAGGGGCTCCTCCAAAACACCACGTTTTCCTTCACTTGTCATTTCCAGGATGGTTTCACACTCGATCCTTGCCAGGAATATTTCAAATGCAGTTTGCTTTGTTTCCTCATTGTTTCTCTTTTTGACAAGTGAAAACTCTGTTGCTGTTGTTGCAACGTACCCTATTTTCTCCAGGACTGCTTTGACGATGTCATCTGGGAGCACTGACTGGATATAGTAGACAAAGTTACCAGTGAATGTCTGAAACAGAATGAAACACAGAAAAACACTGAGGGGATGGGGTGGAAGAAAACCTGAAAGATTGAAAATCAAAAATACTTCAGAAATTGCTTACAGCTTTCAAAAAAACCTGTGTTCCTAAAAGCCTGAATTGTGAATCGCAGTGAGTGAGGCTTTTCTAAAGCATTATTTTGTCAGCCTCTCAAGCATCAGAGCTTTGCTACAGCACATTAGTTTCAGTGAAGTGATGCCAGCTGAAACCTGCTGAGGTCCTGGCTAAGAGCATCAGCATTCAAAAAGGAAGAGAGTGAGGAAATTATTTTAGTCAAACTGGAGAAAAACAGAAATGAATCTTATGTGCTCTACTGAAGAATATAAGCTTTTTAAGCAAACAAGGATTCACAGACTAACTCACTGAGGTCTGATCTTTTCCCAAGGAAGCAAACAAGATGCACTCACTGTTAACTGCATTTCCTAATTGGTGACAAGGCTATAACATTTCCTTTTTCCATGGTTCAGATTCCTGCTGTAACTTTACTACCTTTGAATTAAACTGCCATTTTTCTGAAAGCACCTTTTTGAAGGTAGACCATCCTAGCAGAAATATTGCCCAAACACCTCTTTGCAAAAGCTTTCTGCAAAACATGAATAGAATGCTGCCGTTGCTGCATAACAACTTCAAAAATCAATATTTGCTTGGTTTTAGAGCTACCCCAGACATGAGGCCTAGTTTGTAAAGTGGAAGTGGTTTTTGGTTTTGTCTGAAATACTGATAGAAGAGACTCTGTTGAGCTAAGCATGATCAACTCCTGGCAAGTCAGCACAGAACAGAGGTGGGAATGCAAAGTCAAGACTTCCACCTTGTTTTCAGGCTGCCCAGCTTGGGACAGACTCACCTACTGCCTGAGGCTGAGACCTGAGCATTGGTCTCACAAGCAGAAGCTTCAGGGAGAACAAAACTGACCCCAAAATGGCCACGGTTATGTATAATGTAGGACTGACCCTCAGTCCATTCTCAGGTAAATTTGTCAGCAGTGCTTTGCAATCCCACCTTCAGCAGGCCTGAACTTTGGGTTACCCACAGTGGTCTTCAAAGTTTAATCTTAATGAAGCCTAAGATTTTGTGTTAGGAGAAGCAGAACCCACCAACTGTAGTCCTGATTATCTTATGTTTTGCCCTGTTTTAGGGAGATGAATGAGAACAGGAACCTACAGCTGTTTGAGAATCCACAGGGGGGACCTACGTCCAGGGAGAAGCAAAGAAATGGCTCTGCCTCACCAGCACGTGCTGCTGAAGGAAGGGCAATCAGTTTGCGTGTTGGGGGATTCTGTTGAGATTTTGCAAGTGTTTAGATTGTGTCTCTTGTGGGCCATGAGATGTGCGAGGTGTGCTGGGGAAGCGGGGTCACCGTGGCCACCTTGCTGCGAAAACCAACAGCGTTTCCTCTTTCCCAGGGGCTGTTCCTGCCCACCCCCACCCGGGATAAGGGGCCAGGAGGCACCGCCCCACCCGGCCTTTGGCACCAAACCACCGAGGAAAACACCCCCTCCTTACAGCGAACAGAGGGGAGGGCTCAGAGCGATGAGAGGCAAAGCTTTCACCTTCTCTGCTGCCTCACCACAACCGGGGCTCCGTTCCCAGCCCCGCAGATGCTCAGCACGCCCGGCCTCGGCGGGGACATCCCAGGGAGCAGCCACACATCACACGGGGCACCGCCCCGGGCAGGATGTGCCCATGACACTGCTCCAGCTCCCAGCACCCTGATCAGGGCAGGATGTGCCCGTGACACTGCTCCAGCTCCCGGGCAGGATGTGTCCATGACACTGCTCCAGCTCCCAGCCCTGTCCCGGGCAGGATGTGCCCCTGGCCCCGCTCCATCCCTCGCTGCCCTCCCGGCCTCGCGGCCCCGGCTCCCCCCGGTCCCGTACCTTGAGCGAGCGGATCTCCCTGCGCCAGGGGCACAGCAGCAGGTTGAGGCAGAGCAGCTCCAGCAGCTCCAGCGCCTTCACCAGGTCGCGCAGGGCGCGATCGCCCCGCGCCCGCCGGCACCGCTCGGCCACGGCGCGCACGTCCAGGGCCCCGCTGTGCCCCGGCAGCCCCGCCGGGCCCAGGAGCAGCCCCCGCGCCCGGGCGGCGATGGCGGGGTCGGCGCAGGGCCCGGGCCGGGCCGCGACCCGCGACA